TGAGGGCAAGCATGTCTGTCCTTGCAAGGCAGAAGGTCATCAATGTGTCATCAGACTTCCTGGGGCTTTGAGAAGCCGTCTGAGAGGAAGTGCCAATATTTTAGTTATCCTGTGCTCATCAATCGTGAATTTTACATAATGAGCTCCGTCATACTGGCAAGACAACAGCCTGCAAAACATCCAAGGATCCACCGCTGGCCCGGAGCTCAACACATCCATAAATTCAAAGATCAGATTCACTTTTACCCTTGGGCAACCGCTCAGACACGCTGAATATGCATAAACGGCATCGTCTGAGCTTAACCTTCTGCTAAACAACCTGTGGAGATGTCCGACATTAACCGCTATATCATGAAAAACCAACTTGTGAGGTACATTGCTGAAAGGTTGAGTGACTAATCGATGTGACTTTTTGCGGATACATGCATTTTACAGGCTAAAAACTGGACCATAATCTACGCTACTACGCTTGCGCCCAGCACGTTTTAATTTCATTACACTAATTTGGAGATTTCGGTAGTTTTGTCTGCGAACCCCGCAAAAGACCCCTTTCCTACCGCATGCATTCTTTTCAATTCTCGCGTCCCAAATATTGTGAGGGTGGGGTGGGGGTGGGGGGGGGGGGGGACGACGCCAAATATGCGTCACCGCGTTATGTTCATATGTGACCACGTCGCCCCTTCGACGTCGTGCTCACATGTGACCACGCCGCCTCCTCAGCGTCGTGTTTAGATGTAACCACGCCACTTCCTCAGCGTCGTGCTCATATGTGACCATGCCGCCTCCTCCACGTCGTGCTCATATGTGACCATACCGCCTTCTCTGTGTCGTGTCTAGATATATCCACGCTGCCCTCTCAGTGTCGTGTTTAGATGTGACCACGCCACCTTCTCAGTGTCGTATTTAGATTTGATCACGCCGCCTCCTCAGTGTCGTACTTAGACGTGACCACGCAACTTCCTCAGCGTCGTGCCCATATGTGACCACGCTGCCTCCTCGACGTCGTACTCATATGTGACCACGCCGCCTCCTCGACGTCGTGCTCACATGTGACCATGCCGCCTTCTCTGTGTCGTGTTTAGCTGTAACCACGTCACCTTCTCTGTGTCGTGTTTAGGTGTGACCACGCCACTTCCTCCGCGTCGTGTTCACATGTGACCACGCTGCCTTCTCAGCGTCGTGCTCATATGTGACCACGCCGCCTCCTCAGTGTCGTGTTCACATGTGACCATGCCGCCTCCTCAGTGTCGTGCTCACATTCGACCACGCCACCTCCTCAGTGTCGTGTTCAGATGTGACCATGCCGCCTTTTCAGTGTCGGACAAGCCAGGCTCATGGCGGAACTAATGATGGGAGGTTATTGCCGGTCTCCGGGCGCAGCGGCCTCGATCGGCGGGCATCAGTCGAGTCTTCGCCTGCGGCCCCAGCGTCGACAGTGAAGGCCGACGGTCGCCATGGCTGGCTGCGCAGCAGCGGTGTCCGGCGGCAGAGGAAGGTGGCCAAGGGAGAAGCACGGGGGGTCGACACCATCTGCCGCTCTGGCACTCTCTGTCGTCGCAACGCTGAAGGTCGCGGTGCCAAAGCGTCCTCCGTGACAGCTTGGCAGGTAATGCGTTGGCAAGATGGACACTGCAGATTGAAAATACATGATGCGTTTATGCGCTCATGTGGGTTCCCATTGAATCACTCAAAGGTATTTCCATATGACAGCCTTCCAAACGACATATTTGGCTGCCGCTAAGCGAGAGATTCCGCCAGTGGACTTTTCGAAGCCGCAGCTGGAATGCAATGGTGTTGGACGTGTCAATTTGTCATCACCGCCAATCACTATTCTGTCTCTTTCACCACTGCTTCATGCTCTCATGACGCCAAATTTACCAATACTCGCCCCGCATTTGAACACACATCCTTCCCGTGGCTAGGTTTGTCAAGAGCATAGGTGAGGCCGACGCCATCGAGTCAGCGCGGCCGAGAGGGGGGGGGGGGAGGGTGCACCCCTGACGGCAGCCAGTGACTCGTGACCGCCGTATCTGTCTGCTAGGGCAGGGCCTCCACGGGGCTCGGCGCCACAGCAGCGGCCCATCACTGCCCGCGGGGCGCCATCACCTGGGAGCGGACGTGGCTGCGGTTACGAGACGCGCCGATCATTTCCGTCAAGGACTTTTGTTTTTGATTGGCGCAGGCGGGGAACTGCCGTCGCGCCGTGCGCCGTCGCTAATGGCGCGCTTTTTTAATCAGTCGGGACGATGCCATATCAGCTTTGTTTGTTGTACCCAGCATAGGCACACACGCACACACACACACACACACACACACACACACACACACACACACACACACACACACACACACACACACACACACACACACACACACACACAAACGCACACATAATTTCTTTCACCTATCCCCCTATCCCATCATTCTGAATGAATGGCTCGTGGAAGTCGCGATCAGTCGATTCCGGCTCTGTCGTCTTGTTTCTGTGACAAAACGGACTTTTGAGCTTCGCAAGTTATGTATGATATCGGGCTTCGGTCACGGTGTTTCGTACAATAAGATAGTGGTAGTTTTCATTTAATTAGATAATGGTGGTTTTGAAGTCAGAAAAAGAGAGGACACGCGACCGCCGCGCGCGTCGCTCCTCACAAAGCAAAAGGTGATTAGCCACGGTTCTTACGCTCACGGTGATGATCCACATCCGGCTCATCACCTTTCAGTTGGAAAATCGGGGAGCCTTATTATACACACCAAAAAAGACTTTGGTTAGATGAAAACGATTTCGCTTCCTAGCAATAAGTGGTAAACTTTTTGTTTTTTCTGAGGGAAATGCCAGCATTATGCGGCGATGAAAGCTAGGTCTCCTAAAGTGCACCCCATGCTAGGACGGTTTAGGCCCGACAAACAGACTAGTGCACATTGGTACGCAGTTAAGCACCATTTTTGCTTCACCTTAGTACAAGCTGTTAACGATGTCGAATGCTGCATCATCCTGAAGCCACTTAAACCCAAAAAGACTATCTTTAACGAAAGCGGCTAATTGTATTCAAGATTTGCTTTACTTCATACACTGGAGGCCAAAAAAAGATTTCTAAACGAGCGCATTACTGTGCACGCTGGCTGTCTTCGCTTAGGGATATTTTTGTTTTTGTTTTGTTCTTTTATCACTTTGTCGCTTTTTTGTTCTTTTAGCTGATCATGAGATCAGACACATCTGGTTAGGTCGGAAAGGCCAGTTTTCTCAAATTATTTGCTATTTCCCAAAATATTGACTTGAAGTGAAGAAATGCAGCTGGACGCCCTGATCACCGCCATGACAGTAAAACTATTCATTTGTTTTACTTTTCCCGACATCTTTGGTATGTATGTAAATCCTAGTAAGACGAAATGCTTGTGAAATAAACGCTCCTATGAGAGCTTGGAGCACTCTTGCTAGGTAAAACAATGGATTCAACGAAGGAACGAATTAAGTCAATTCCACAAATACGTTCAATGAGACGTTATGCTGTCTCAGTTCTACCTGACGACCTTCAAAACAGATGCTGCTTTCAAAGCGCACATTCGGTGACGCAAATTGTTTACTTAGATGCTTACTCAAAATTTGCAGCCTAGACATGCCGACCCAAAATGTATCCAAATTCCTTTGCGTATCTTTGTTTGCGCTGTATTGGCACCATTCAAAGATGTTTTAACAATAGCTGCACTGCGGTTCACTGCGTAACACTGCGGTTCAGACAGAGCATGCTTTTGAAATAGACCTGAAGGTGGGGCACGCGCTTCAAAAGCAGCTTCTGCGTCCGACCAGTGTCTGGGCGTTGGTCTGCCAACGCGCTCGGCGTAGACGGCGCATTGCTCGGCGTAGACGCCCCAGCGTTCTGGCAGGTCCAACCCGCAAAACCCGTTCCTGCACCCTGGCTGGGGACCATTCATATGTGGCACGCGCCTGTGCAGTAGGCCACCAGCGCAAAGCTGCCATCGAAAGGCTAGCTTATCGGCACGATGAATGGATCTCCCCGCCGAGCCATGGCTACGCAGCCGGCACTAGCGCGCCCGATAATTTAGTACCCCCCGCTAAACGTCGTGTTGCGATGCCAGGCGCGTCTGGGGTACGGGCGTGCAGTCAAGGTTACTGTCTGCTCAGAACCGGTGTTCGCCTGCGCAAGGCGGCCGCCCATGTCTTATCGTGCATATCTCGGACCGTGTCGGCGATCAGTCAGCGGCGTGGTGAGTGATCACCCACGCCAGCTGGCGTGTGTGCATGTCGCAACTGCGTGACACACTCTAGAGCTGGCCATCTCACCGACGATGAGGATGTATGTGGTGGCATCACATGGTAATCGACCTCATGTCTCACAAGGATGTGGACTCGCCTAAAGTGAGTTGACAGGCCAGTTTAAATTATCGGCTTCGTAGCCTGCATTTCCCAGCTCTTTCAAAAACGGTGCCGTAGTTTTTTCCCCCGAGGACAGGACAATAAGTTTCAGAACGTTTCGTAAAGTTCCGTCCACTCTGTCAGTTCGGTGATATTTCCGGCGATGTAAATCAGCAGCTTTACTTCCCCGTCTTCCATCCGAGAGGCAGACTGACGTCTAATAGACGTGCTGCTTTCCCGGTACGACAGGAGGCCCGAGAGCGGCCCAGATCGCTGTCTCCCGTCGAGGCGCCCATCATTCCCCCAGGGCGCGCAGCAGACTCCGTTTCCAACTTTCCTGAGTTGTATTTGTACGCAAAGACGAGGAGAGCCAAGCACACGCGCAGCGGGCTGGTCCGTTGAATTCCTGTCATGGAGCGGACGCACCGTGCGCATGCGGCCCAACACATATAGATGATCTGGTACAACTGAGCAACATGAAGTGAAATGACGCGAGATGAGTGCACCCTCACGCCGCCGTGCACCGGGCGCAAGCACTCAAATGTATACGCATGCTACTTGACTCGGTGCTCCCAGCCGCCGGCCACCACCTCTCGGAGGGAGAGGAGCTTGACCGAGCCCCGCCTACTGCTCTTCCATGGACCGCAGCGCCTTCATCAGCTGCGCGGTGGAGAAGGGGCACCTCTTGTACACCTGGCCGCACCGCGTGGCGTCCTTCTTCTCGGCGCCGAGGAAGGCGGCCAGCTGATACTTGCCCAAGGCGCTGCCGGTCAGCTTGTTGTAGGTCGGTGCACTCGGCTGAGAACTGCGGCAAACGAGGCGAGGTGTAGAGGTTACGCTTCGGCGGCCGCGCATCCCCCAGCGGAGTGTATACGCTGTACTCCGCAAATGGCTCTCTACTCAGCAGAATCGATGCGAAGCGAAAGCAGCCCGCCGTTTATGAAGGACTAGGCTGATACAGAATGAACACATCAACCAAACACCTAGCTAAGCGTACCCATTGTAAACCGATCTTTGGGAATAGAAAGACTGTGTTAAAGTTCACGTAAAATGTTCGACCACACCTAAAGCATATGCCGACCACATTAGCTATGCCGCCGATGAGCAGGTACCATCATTGCATCGTCTCCCTCCCATACCCCCCCCCCCCCCCCCCTCCAAGCCACGCACCCAAACAGCGAGTGGATGATCTTCTCGTCCGCCGCCAGCTGGTCGTACTCGCGCGCCTCCACCTCGCAGACGACGCGCAGGCCGCAGCCAAGCTTGTCGGCCCACTCCACCAGCTGGAAGTACGCCTCCTCCTGCTCGTCGCCGAGCGCCGCCACCGAGCCGGCGTCGACAGCGTCGCGCCGGCCGCGGTGCCGGCCGTAACCGCGGCCGTGGCCGCGACGCCCCCCGCGGCCGCGGCCGCCGAACGAGCGCGCGATGGCGAAGCCGGCGACGCCGGCGAGCTTGAGGCCGATGACGGCGGCGACGCCGATGGCGAGAGCCGTGCCGGCCGAGATGCCCTCGGTGGCCGAGGCCTCATACGCCAGCATCGACAGCAACGCCGTCAGCAGGAGCAGGTGCGCGTTCATGACTGTCGGACGGACGAGCGGGTCAGAACGGGGAGGGGTGGCAGCGGGCGGCCATGTGACGGCAGGTGCTGCCTGGACACCGCTATCGGCAGGGTCGGCTGCTGTCGTGCACAGCTTCCTGAGGGATGGACGGTTAGCTGATAACATTAGGAGCCTTTCCACAGCGACGCAATGCGTGATTTATATTTAGAGGTGCATTTGCATGTGACAGGAAAGAGGACACCGAAGCTTGACTTGTCGTCGAGACGGGCGAGTGCTCTTTGGACGTGATTATAGTGCGACATGAGGTGTTGAAAACGGGACAGAGAACTGGTCAGAAGGCAAAAGAAGAATATATACAAGTTGTGAAACTGAAGACAGCAAAATCCGCTTGTCACATGCCAACAATTTACTGGCTTTTTTTCTGGCGATCGCAGACTTCAACAGACTATGTTCATGACAAAGCCACCAAAATGCGCCTATATCTGCCCGATATGATTTTTACCGTGAGCCCTAGGGGGTGTCAGGAACACATTACTTTACAACTGGAAGACGCAAACAACTAAGACGATACGTGATTAGATCAAACGGAACAGATGCCAGACCGAATTCACGATACTCTACACTGTGTAAATGTTACCTTCACGTCATTGTTACTGTTTTCCCTAAAATAACTGAGGAATTTGAGAACGAAGTGTGAGAGACAGTCGGCATTTTGCCGAGACCGATGCAGCAGCGGCGACTCAGCGCGACTCACCTGGTGGAAGTGGTGCCGTTCACGGGGCGGACGAGAGTGTACACTGAATTGTGGAGGGCCACGCCGCTCTATAAATACGTGGCCGACGTATCCGGCGGGTAAAACTGCTGGCCGTCGTCCTCAGCCAAGGCCGCCGCTGGCCGACGGTGCGCGAACACCTGCGCCGCGGGCGTCGCCGCCGCCGCCGCTGCCTCCGCCACCACGAGAATTACTGCTTTCTGCTGAATCACTGGGAGGCCATTGCCTGCGGCCGTGCTTGAGATAGGTCCGTGGAGCCGGAATGGACCACACTCATCCAGCGACAATCAGCGCGGTCGGGCCGGTGACGCCGCAGAAGTGACGTCATCACGCGACGCGCACGTGCGCATGTTTGGGGCGCCGCTGCCCTCCTGTGAAAGCGCTGTGGAGCACGTATCAGATACAGTCGGAGATGTCATTTCAGTCACTAGTGTTATAAGTGGTTCCATTGGGATGTGATCGAGTTGGTGAATACTAAATGGACAAGCGTTTATCACTGACGTCATCTTTAGGCTAGACCCCGTTTAATATCGCGCTTAGGGTTTCAGCGTGACTAAACTGGGCTTCAGCCGGGTCCACACATCACGCGGCCAAGCCAGCGTAATTTCGTATTGAAGTCGGCGTCTATTTTTGACCAACGCGTGCGGCCTTGGCAGGAAACTAAACGACACCTTTCCGCGAGGCGAGGCGTGGAAGGGTCCTATACGCGAGCCCACGCCCGAGCGGGCGAGGGCGGCCGGCCGACTAGGAACCATTAGCGGAGGTCACCCGACCCCATCCATATGGCCACGCGAGACACATACCCCGATCTATGACCCTGCGCAGCGGTCTGAAAAAGGGGTCAAGGCCACCGCACACCGTCTGCAGACGCGTCTCGCATTTGCAAGCGTTTGTGGGGCGGTGCGGACGGCGCGCCGCAGCCCCACGCGGCGCTCACGCCGATCCTGCACGCTCCGGCGCTGCCATAGCCTTGCGCGCCGCTTATCCCCAGGTAGGGTGACGCTTTTTACGGCGCGAGGGGGGCGCGGCGGTATCCGGTAACCAGGGGCGTACCAGCGGAGGCGCCGCCGGCCGCCGAACGACCCCGCGGACGAGGCTGGTCTGGCCTGACGCGCTGGGGGGGGGGGGGGGGGGGGGGCACCGAAGACGGCTGACGCGGTGGGGGCGATGGCTGCAGATGCCTGGAGCGTGACGTTATGGAGCGTTCGTTCAGTGGTGTCACGACAGACCAAACGTGCTGGGGGTGGCTTGTGGACAGGTAGCCTTAACCAAAATGGCAATGCCACCTTTTAAGCCGACATTTCATTTAAGCGCACATTTCCAGATAAGGTGTGTCCGATTTGAAGCTCTAAGCCAGTTTTCACAAATTTGCTTAAACTCCGGCTGGTTTGCCATCTGAAATAGTGATTTTGCCGGCGGCAACTCTTCCATCAGTCTCCTTGCTAATTCTAAACAATCATTTTCCAGCGGTGTTTTCTTGAGTTGTGTTCCCCTGGCTCAAAGTCCTCATGCGTCTAGTTTGGGCATGTGGCTGCCATCGACGCCGCAGCCCACACTGGTAAAGTCGCGGGAACGTGGAGGCAGTTTTTGTCTTATTACATTTAATTCGAAAAGTTAACCATGGCGGATTCTGTCCCATTTTTGACCTGACGTAAAACACTTAACGTTCAAACTTCACGTAACGTAAGCCTTGGAGCCAAAATCAAAATTCAAGATTGATCAGTGCAGGTAGTCCGAAAAACGACCTCGTCGTTGGTGCTTGATTCCCGGGATCTTGAACGAAAGGACCCAAAGTATGTGCATTAGCACATTTAGGCTGCACCCTGGACAGCGGTTGAAGTCGACTCACACGCTCCAACCAGCTGACTGGCACAGGTGGCATAACCTTCGAATGCACAGACCCAGCATCGCAACAATCACCGTGCTCGAACTATTACACAGGAGAGCGCAGCATACGCATGTGCTGCACAGGCGCATCTCAAATGTGAACCTGATAGAATATTAAGCTGCGTGCGTGTGGGGGGGAGGGGGGGGGGGCGATGGACCAATGCAAAGCCAAAATGTCCTGTCAGAGCCCCAGACGCGGGCCACACTTTCAGTGAAAGCACACGCGTCACGAACTTCGGAGTGCGGCCATCGCGCGAGAAGGCGCCTGCTCACACATCAATGGGAACAGTTTTAAAAATTCGATCACATTTGACGGGCGGCTCCTCCTCTTATCGACTAGCCCCACCAAGGGATAAAAGTTGCAAATGCGCACTGCTCTCATCACTGACTCGGACTGTGCTCAGACGAAACACGCATAGCGATGAGGTTCAAATGCTCCGAGGACCCAGTCTGTCAAATTTCACAAGCGGGACATCTTCCGTGCAGCGGACAGAATAATGGAGCACGCATCTCTCTTACATGCGCACCCCCAGCCACCCGACGCACTCAGTGCGATCAATTCCTTCTTCTCAGATGGCAGCTGTAGGCTGCTGCTGGCAGCTGCAGGCTTTCACCTGCAGTCGCAAGCCCTCACATAGAAGGCGTTTGCATGAAATTTGCATGATGACGCCAAATCCTCCAACGGTGCATTTTACGAAATTTCATATGCGTAATGCCACGAGTTCGGCGGCAGCAGCCTAGGGGTACAGATCACTTGCACGCACAATGCGAGCACATTCATACCTTCCTCGCGCCAGATAAAACCAGTTTGTACAGGTGGGGTGATCTACGATAAATCGACAAATGCTTTCTACCCTCATCCCTCGGATTTTGATTGAATTGGTTTACAGCGGCTGTCATCAGCGCCGAAGCCGCCTGGGATTTTTCAGTTTCAGATCTCACAGTCACATGGCTTCAGGTTGTAGCCTTCGGCAATTTCAAGTTGCCTGGTTGCAAGACAACATTCGGTGGCAATGTTTTCCACTCGCTTAATTTGAAGATAATCTGGCAAACCCATATGTTGAAATGATCAGAAAATCGTCGTTGATATTTGTATGCTACTCTGAAGATGAACACTGCATAATTAACAATGAACAGGGTAATATGAGCTTTTGTAATGCACTAAAAACAAATTTCTTATGTGATATTAAGCTTTTCTCATTTTTATGTGAAAGAGCGTGGTGTAGTCTCAAAAATTCAAACATAAAAAGGTTATTATCCGCTTGAAAAGGCATGATCTATACAACGACAAATGCGTATCGCAAGAAGAGAGGGCATGAGGGCAGAGGGCGCATGGCGCACCACCGCAGCCTACTACCCCCCCCCCCCCCTTCCTACCATGTGAACTGTCGGGGTCGGAGTAATTGGAGCATGGGGATGTGAGTGCGCAGTGCGAGGATGGTGTCGTCTCTCATTCATATGAGGCGACCTAGACGTCAAGGACCCAGAGATAGAGCCTTGAGTCAGTGCTTGTTGTATGGTCGGAGCACATGACTATGTTGGCACTGTCTAGGGACAATGAAACCCTCTAACAGCCCCAGTTGTGTCGATCCATTAGCGAAGCACAAATCAAAAGCACGGTGAGATTAAAAGGAGTACGCCGCCTTCTTGTACTTTCACTTGTTAGATCTAACACGTCCGATTTGGCCGTCAATACCATTTTTCTCGAAATCCCTATGATGAGTGTAGAATTTCGACATGAAGTAGCCACTCCTGCGGGATAAATCTCTTTAAACTCCCTGCTCGCCACTATAAAAGTAATACCTTTTACTTGCCTTTGCTCTTCTTAATACCTTTTACTTGACGGGTGTGTTCTGTGTTGTTTGTAG